CCCCTCAGTTTACCTGTTTCACAACATTTAGAAACAAAAAATGTATTGTAGTAAATTAAAAGTGATTTTAGTTTTACAAATTATATTTATCTTTTTATTAGTTGTGCATCGTTGAAAGTGCTGAGTAACTGGAAACTGCTGCCCCTGGCCTGTTACGCAGAGTATTAGTGCTGGCACTGTAAATCTTAATTGCTAAATGACAATACTGCTACATAAAGAGCAATGTGAACGAAAATATTTTTTCTTTCTTTCGTTCATAATTATTTTAACTTTTATATATTCATCAGATACATTTCACGTACGCTAAGTACCAATTGCTGGAAGAAAAGGTGATCTCGTAAATGTTCACTTTCACGATGTGCCGCCAACACAGGGCTCTTGGATGTCCCGCTGCCTCCTACTAAACCATTTATTTATTCTGGTGAAAAGTGTATTATGTGAACGTTTTCTTGTGCTGGATGACCCCTACCATTACCCATTCACAGAAAGTAGAATTATTAATACAGTAAATTATCATTTTTTGCGAGAATCGATAAAAAATTCGCTTCCGTATGTAAAAATCTTTTGGCAAATGCAAATCAGCAAATATTTTGGCTATTGTCCCTCATAGTGCCCGTCGTGTAGGCATCGATTTACAGCCTCGAGAACAATGAAAACCTTTACTTCAATAAATATGTTTACCACTGAACTATAGAAAACATCAACAGATAGTAAAGTTACATTTACGTTCAAAAGCAATTCCAGAAACCATCTCAGCATTTGCTCAAAGTATCAGGGAAACGGTACGAAAAACCTGACGTAGGAGGGTTATTGACCCAAAAGCTAAAGTACAATACTTGCTACAAGCTTATTTTATCTTTTAAAATTATACAGCCGAAATTGTAACTAATACTTTAAACATGATTGTTTATATAAATATTAATTTCTATTTGATGCTCACATTGTAGTGTCTAAATATAGTATGGAAGCAATTACGCTGTAGAAGAGATTTTACTGGGCTCCTTAACTTCTGAATCGTTTTAATCGTTTAATACCATCTGGCAATGCGATGCAATATAATATAGTACATGTATTTCATGTGCATTTTTAGTAAGCTTTTGATAGTGACACCTAATGAATATGATTTCTCCGTCGAGTGTGATAGTCAGGCATGTAGACATCTGTATTCGCTGAAATATGTCCCCACCCTTGAGGAAACTGACCCTTGCTCGATGTAAAACGTAAATGACCTTGCCGCTTCCTCAGCCTCTCGCGAGGTTCGGTTCGCGTGGGCGCAGGCGTGCGCCGAGGGCCGCGCTCGCCCCGTGCTGCTCCTGCGCGCGACAGACGCCGCGCACGCTCCGCTGCGGCGCCCCGTCGCTGTCGTCGGCAGCGCGCGGTGACACGCGCACGTCGAAAGCCTGTTTGGACGCGCTCTGCGGAGATGCCACTCCAGATAGCCGAATGCACATTGCCTCCGATGCACGCCAAATGGTTAACAAGGCGCGCTTCTTCCTTCTTCGCGTTCCACACACGTGGCTGAGAAGCCTTTTGCTGACAGCTCTTGGGGAGACACTGCTGAGGGTAATATCTCTTTGAACTTGGTTTTGGTGCTGTGTTAAATTACAATTCGGATGTAGTAATTTAAGCGATTGAGACTGATTGTTTTAGTGATTCCGGGCACGTCAACTACCAGGGTCATTAGTCACGTAAGTGCAGTGCATGTTTTTGCTTGGGAGGGGGCGGTGATCTTTCCCTCGCTGTATGGCGAGATCCGGGCGCGACCTACCGTCGGCTAGCGATATCTCCCAGGTATCTCCCACCAGCGGGACACCGCCCCTGCCGCGACAAGCTCTAAGCTCCCGACTCCCGGCATGTGTGCCTGTGTAGCATGTGTTAGTGTAAGTGTGTGAGTGTAAGGGAAGAGGATAGGAAGAGGAAGAGGACGCCGAGATCGCGCGCGGTCCGTGGCCCTTTTGTGAGCGTACTGCTCCAGCAATCGCCTGGTGTTGATCGGAGAAACCACGGAAAACTACCGATCAGAGCAGACGGCCATTAGAATTCTCCTCCAGGCAGCGAATGAATTCGACCTAGCTGACGAGCTAATGTCGAAAATCCTGCCACAGTCGGGACTCAAATCTAGGACCTCCTGGCCAGAGGGACTGCAGTGACATCAGTTGATGCCCTGAGCCTCCTCTCCCGGTTGATGCATTCGCGAGTAAATAATAGTAGTGGCATTTCGTTCCGTAGAAAAATGCAGTATGATACCAATGTGCAGTGTGATCCCAAAATATCGCCTTTCATTAAGACAACTGTAGAACCGGACAACGGCGCCACTCGGCGAACATAGGCCTGAACTTGGCGGAGGAATGGTGGCATCGAAAGGAAGTTCGAAAGCCGCGAAATAACAGAACTCAGGGTGCACCACTGTCCCCTTTATTCCTGCGTTAAATACAATTTTCACATGACATGCTCAAAATGTCCCCCGCGTTTATGGCAACATAACAAGCTGCGCCTCCCAATGTCTGTTGCACACGCCTCAAAGTTTCGGCTGTCGGGACGGTCACGACCGCGAGGAGATTTGACGCTTCGGGGGCTCGTCCTCCGCTGCTTGCACGGCCGCCACTTCTGTAGGTCCAGTATGACAGCGACGGCACTTGGTCGCGGAAGCACGTTCACAGCAGAATGCAGTCTTGCTGCGAAACGCCACAACATGTTGCACGTCGGATGCCGGCGAGAGAGGTATCAGTCGAAGTATACACGCTGGTATTGCCGCAACATTCTCCCAATATCAATCACATATCACAATACTCGTCTGTAGTAAATGTCTCCGTTTCCACCACTTCACATGGTTTTTCGCTTGAAATTGATGCTACCAGCGCAACATTGACACTGACAGAGACAAGAAGTGTTTCGTTATCGCGGTAACAATAGTAACCCGGTGCGTTGAGCATTCTGTCCCAGTATTCGTATTCTGATGTAAAGCTTGTTTGCAACAGCATGCAGTTAAATCGTGTTTTCTACGTTGTTATAAATCTGTCGGCACCAAAACAAATGAACAGTGTCCGTTCTACATATGATGCATATGATGGTATCTACTATATGAGGGTATTAAGGGAACTAGATTTTTTCTATCAGCAATCTAAAGAATTCGAAGGGACGATGTTGATTTATTTCTGTATCGACTTAAAGCTTAAAAAACTTTTTTAGTCAATAATACAGATAACGAAAATAAAGCGCATTCCTATTTCGCAATGGATTACATATACTGGTCAATTAATTAAAATAAACAGAAAGTGGTCAAATTCACAGTTCTTCACACATGGACTCCCTCGTTTATATTAGAAAGAAAATTTGGTTTTTAACACAATTATTTCATTGTCCCATTCTTAGGTTATTTTTGCTTTGATAATTCATCATTTATTTTGTATAGAAATAGATCTAAAGATAATGTAAGTTTTCAATTAGCTTCTATACATCTTGGGCAGGTTATTAAAATTAGACAAAATGTACAAGTGTCTTGATAATTCTATAACATTAAATAAATTTTAGGTTTTAAAATAAATATACTAGCTTTCTGATTATATTAATTTATTAGTCAATAAAGAAGCATTCCCTAGTTGAATAGGAACACCAATTTTAATTTCTCTTGCTACCGAATAATTAGTTTGTTATGATTGATGCCAATATATAAACAGATAAATATATGAAAATAAGGAAATTAATACAGGAAGGCAATAAGTATAGTTAATTTGAAAACACGAATTTTCAATTTCGATTCCTTTCTAGAGAGCGGATCGCCAGCAAAGGATACACTCTTTCACCTGGTGGAAAGCCATTGCGGACAGGCGTGATAAACGTGGCTTCTGAATACATTTTTCTACAGTTTCTTTCCGAATATTAACAATGAAGATATAATTGTATTTGTCTCTGCGAACACTTTGGAATGGTAATTGAAAAAAGATGTACTTTTTAAAAAAAAAATCAAAGTTGTGTCAAATCTAAAAATTAAAGATGTTACAAACAGAGAAACTAAATATATTATACTCCCATCATCTACAACTTTGCACAAAGAGCATCCAAATATCTGAAATGATTTCGGAGATATTAGCTGCAACCTTCTTAAATGATCCACTCTTCACTTATCATAATTGAAGTGTCGAGGCAAAATAATAATTTCACTCATTCAAAATATAAATCTTATAATTTCACAAAAACTAACTTTATGAACCAAATTTGTAAACCAAACGAACTTCTTCAAACGAATAGTTGTAATATGTGCATGGAAGCAACAACAACTATATGCATAAAGTGTCTGGATTTACACCAACTTTTTTCTGGTGACTTACAAAAATTACAGAAAGTAGAGTTATCAGTATATTGACCTGACGACCTGACTCCTTCAATTATTTTTTGATATTTCTCACTGCAAATGATTTTATGCACACTGTTATAAAGTCTTTTCACAAATAATGATAATTGGTAAAATTATGATTAATGCTGATAATTTCTTAGGCAACTGATTTCTATTTTAGTATGCATATAGTTAGTCATTTGGAGTGAAAACTAATATTTATCCGAAAATTAATAAGAGAAAAATCATAATTTCATGACTTACATGGCATTACCAAGACGTGGTAAATTGCTGGAATCTGTTCAAAACAAAATTTAGACTTACCGATCGCATATCAGGCAGGCCTACTAACAATATTTCACTAATATATAGTAGGATAAAGCTGAGGGAAAGAATAATTGCGTTATCCGTTACTTTTACTCAGCCTTTCTTGAAAAGGCCAAGAAAATCAGGAGAGGCCTCCCTCAGAATTTCAGACCTAGTAATTCGGCAATGACTGTGCATCAACTCAACTCTTGAGAATAAAACAATTCAAATACCCGCCTTTGGGTTCTGAACCGGGTCCTCGCAAATGCGCAGCGTGTGAGCTATCAACTCATCCACTGTTAATATTGCCAAGGTATAATTACCTCAATTGAAATGTTTTTTTAGCAGATGCTAGTTAGAAATGACAAATAACTACATTTCACTTGTGTCACTGAAATTAAAGGCTGCGTGGGAAGGTTCAACACCAGGTGTCAAGTCTTGTCATTTGTGAGGTGGGAACACGACTTAAGTTAGTAGAATTGTTCTGTCACTTGAGTGTTGTTGACTCACTCTGATCTTTCCCAGGACCATGAAGACCCGTAAAGAGGCGGGCATGATCCACTCGTCACATCAGTGTCACAGCTTGTCTGTTTAGATAACAGAAAGCCACCGAACTGATCCAGATAGTCCTATACAATAAGAAATTACAATAGGTTAACGATGTTTGTGATCAGTTTTCAAAATTTTGAAATTTGCTGAGTTTTAGAAAAATATATACATTTTCTAAGAAGATTTTAAACTCTCTACAACTTAACTTGAGAATGAAAGCGTGATTTCAGCGTATAAAGGCTCTGTTGAATACTGTCAATAGTAATCTGACGATTTTTATTTTTACAGATTGTTATTTGATTGTATATTTATTTAAAATTACTTGAAAATATTGCAGGGAATCACAGGTTTTGTTTGTATTTCTTTGCATATATTTGCAGGTTTGATGCTTTGTTTTTTAAACATTCTTCGGCTACATCCTTCAAAGGGCTATCAGATACAGCTATTTTTAGATAAAAATGATTCTTCCAATTTTTCGAAAGACCATGCCGTATCAATGAAAACGGAGGATTGTGAAATGGAACAAGAATGGCGAACACTGCTGTAGATGGACGTTGTATAGTTCTGGGGACCTACGATTTTGACGCACGCGGAAAATGAGCGGATTTCAACTGTTCACTCGTTGGTCGCAAGCGACTCTGTCAGCGATTGTCGCAAGCGATTCTTAACCTTTCCTAGTTTGTAGCTTCAGGATCTCTGCAGCTACAAATACTATGAAAGCTTTCCAACAGATCCACAGAAGATTCGGCGAAGCCAAGTCTTGCAAGCTTACGCCACTGCAGATGATGCTCCTATAAATCTGAAAGTGTACAATATTCTTGTACAATTAGTGGCTGTTATCTGAGTGCGTAATCAGTAGGAGACACGCAAAAGGTGACACCATTTCAAGCGCAGATATTCTGAGTTGACGCTTTCTTGTGTCGCGCGCTGTTCTTAATCTCCACAACAAGCCTCAGTCCTGCCCGCAAGTCACAGCCCTTTGATAATTCAGGTACCGATTAAGTTGCGAACTTTTCCAATCGCATATGTGCGAACGTATAGCATGCTTTTGCTAAATGTGGACGAAGATGCATCCAGATACCACGCCTTTAGTGCAACATGTAATCAAAGAATGTGCCGAGGATGTGGTCTGAATGAGACTCGTGCGTACCTGTATACCAAGGGGGTTTCGTTTGGAAGAAGTATTTTCATCTGAAAATTGTCCTATGTACTACCCCTTCAAGGAAGTAGACATAAATATAAGATAATGTATATTGATGTTATTTATGAATTATTTTAACGAAAATATGCAGTTAAGAAAAAAAATGTGTCTGAATCATTAGAGAATGGAGTAATAAATTTCCATGTTCCTATGCTCGTGGGAATCTCTAAATAGTTTGGATCTGATTCTCAAGCTTTTCCTTTATATTAAGAAGCAAGATAAATCACGTTCTCTTTTCTATAATTTTTCTTTTATAACCACTATTTGTGAAGTAGTTATTAAAAAAATTACTATAGTCAAGATACGACTTTGAGACAATATTACCATCGCTACCATCAACATTATTGTTATTATTACAACTAACTTTAAACTTTACTTTATTTTCTCAGAAAAGTTGGGTTATATAATTACTTCATCCTTAACATGTTATCTCACATTCCGACTTTTTCGCATAATTTTTACTTCTTCTTCGGAAGTGTAACTTTGCGGCATCTTTCATGTTGCGTATTGCGCTTGAAATCGTGACTCAACTGTCGGAGTCATAAGTACTGAGCATCAGATGCTCGATGATCTTGGCCGAAAGCTTTCCGCTCCTGACTTCGAAGCGAGCAAACATACGTCGCTCAAAATTATCCCTCAACTCAGGGTTTACCAATGGGATCTGTATCGACCCCCTGGTGATCGAATATATTTCAAAGAGGGCCAATGATCAAGGGTTTGTTTAGGAGTTGAGAGCCCAGTGTTCTCCGGCAAGTGGTGGGCATAATCAAGAGGCAATGGATTAAATAAAATAGTAATGATGTTGATAATTATTTGTTTTCAGATTTTTAATATTTATCTTGTGTTTTCATCTAATGATATATTACAAATTTCTCATCTTTTTGAAATTTAACATCATTCATATAAATGAAAATCAAAATCATATAAATGAAAATTTTTTGTGCAATTACTCGTAGAATTTGCAATTTTTCTTGTGGCAGCGTGCTTATATTTGTAAAATTAAAAATGATACCAGTAAAAAATATAATGAAACAATTCTAATAATTATTTTCGACCACTTTTTTCCTGTTCTGTGTGTAAATTGCTCCTAAGTTTTTTTGTGCCATTGTCTGGCTATAAATATAAATATCTGGCTACAATCACGTATATTGTGGAGAGTAACGCAGGGAATTCGATGAAGCAAATCAACCTCTTAAAAGGCGACTACGAGAGCGGAATCCCTGCTCTTCCGCCCCCCAGCGCATTTTGCTCCACCTGCCCTGGCGCCCTGTGACCGCCGACCTCTGTTGCGTGCGCAGGGGAGGACGGCGCGCTGAGCAAGTCGCAGTTCCCGGTGTTCGCCCTGTTCGCGCGCAAGATGTGCGCGCGCGCCGCGGGCCGCTGCGCGAGACCCTGGAGCTTCGAGGTGGTGCGCGGCCACGAGCTGCGGACCTACGTGCGCCACCGCCGCCGCGTGGGCTCGCGCCGCGAATGCATGGAGCTGTGCCTGCAGGAGCGCGAGTTCGCCTGCCGGTGAGTGCCGCTTGCAGCGCCTGCTTGCATGGCCTGCGTTCGACAGACACAAACACGGAAAACCCCGTCCCCGCTCCTTTGTTTTACAGCTCGGTAACACAAACTTCATTTGGCTTGAAGTAAACTTACCACGAAACACTCTTTACATATTCAATTACTTACATTAACACGAGTATTATATAATTAAATGAGGTGCAATGGAAACATAATGGTTAAACTACAAATGTATTTTGGAGATGATTTCATCGATGTTCGTACAATTTCTTGACAAAGTGGCCAGCCCCCTCTCCCAATAGGGTGTATTTTTTATGACCACTTATAAAATAAGCACTGTAAAGGAAGGGCAGAAGATTTACACCTGTCATCGCTTGAGTTGCTGACAATCGAAGCGGCATCTTTTGGTGTGTGCCCCCCCCCCCTTTCCCCCTCCTTCTTCATTTTTTACTCATCAATAACAGTTCATTTTTCTATAATCTTATTGACATACTATACAAAATTTAATAATATTAAAATTTCAGCTTCATTTATTTGTATTATTTTAATTTGAAATATCAATTTAACCGTTTTCATTAATAAAAAATAGAATTGAAAATTTTATTTTATAAAATCATTAATGAAAATAGAATGAATTTTTCATCTACAATTGAGTAAAATTTGCCGTTTGATATCATTTCTTTGATGGCATCCTGTGCGACCCATTTCTTCCCTTTCAATGATGTGACAAAATGCTAGAGAGATTGGTATTTTGGATATTGGGTATTGATCATTCATATTAACGAATCGTCTGATTTGAGGAAAATAATATACATACAAGTTTCGGACAATATGCGATAATTGATCAATGAATAGGTTTTCATATAAGTACACCTTAATGATACCGTAGTTATTGTGCGTAAGATACGTGTGATTTCCCCTTACTTTTTCAAGCTTAATGCAATAATTCCATAGTTTTCTTCTGCACTAATTTGTATTTGTTTTTTTTATTATGTGAGAATTTAATTTTCTTTTTGTACCAACTATAGCATTTCTTCAAATCAAACAATACAATCTACATAATATGCAAGTACCAGAGACATTTATTTTTGGGTCTGTGGTGTTGCTATTATTTAATACAAAAAATATTTATTAATTAAAATAAAATTATAATTTACATATTGTTGATGTAATTGATATCATCTTGTTTTATTTATTTTCTGTTTCCCATTCACAGTCGCATTATTTAAAATAGGGTTCACAGTAAAATTCTATTGTATGTTGAAGTTTCGCAGGAATGTGATGGTGATATTTGAAAACATAAATAGTTTGTATTGTATCGTCCTTAAAAATATATATTTTATACCCATTTTATTGAAATCTTTTGAGGATACCCTTTCTATCTTCTTTTACAACTTCAACGTTCAAGTCTTAAATAGTGAGCGACATTAATCAAACTGTTGTATCAGTAAGTGGCCCCTACTCAGAAATCACATTGTCTAAAAAGCACCGCAGGAGTTCATTGATGGCATACTGGTCATTAAATACAGTCCACAGAGACCACGTAACGTAGTACCTAATATTCGTAACAGATCTGGCTAAATACAAATTAGTTTTCTTTGCGTGACCTTCTGCCACGTGGAGGTTGAAGATTATCCTTAAGTGGCAGCCTCACGTTATAAATTGGTTTGTTACACCTAAAATACACATTAGGGTCCTATGTGACTATTATCTTCTTAATTTGCAAACGATTACTTGAAGGATAATTGTGATATCAATATTATTTTTCAAGAGCTATCAAAAATGTTAATTTTTTCTTAAATAGAAATATTTTTGAAAGTCTTGAATTCAATACTTTGCTAATTTGAATATGTTTTACTGATAACATATTAACACAAAAATTTTTAAAGATAAAAATGAAAATAAATATTTAAAGATGTAGTATATCTCATGATACATCTCTCTGATGTATATATTATATTGGAATTAGTTCGAATTTGGGAATCCCTAAATGACATTTTACAATCTAATAAACAGGAATGCCATCGAATGCAGATGCAAATGAAGTGATTCGATTACATTATTCGCTGATACTACTAATCAAAAATAAAATGTTAGAAATGTGCGGGAGAGGCAAGATGAAAGCAGAACATCGGGGTCGAGCCGTTCGCTGCTGGCCGCGGGATGCAAATGATACATGAGAGCGTGCATACTTTTTCCAAGCAACCAGGATCCAGAGCGGTCTTCGTGTGAGCGAGCATTAATGAGCGTAACGGAATATTCGTTGCTCTACCATAAATCTATCTCAATAGACGTCTCTGAACTTGTAGTGAATTGTCATTGCCACATCGGTCTCAGAATGTGGTATGTTACAGTTTAAACACACACACATATATATCAAGGTCAATGGACACACCAATTTTTTTGCAGGTTGTGGATACGTGCGGTAATTACACATATAGAAAAACATACAAAGTAAATATTGTATAATAAATAAAAACAAATTAAACATTTTTAAAAGTGAACCAAATTCTATAACAGAAAGGCATATTTTTTCCATAAATACCTTCATGGCCCAAATAAATTCATTTTACGGTCGTGTAAAGATCTACTCTTTGGGAACTTTTCATATTTGGGGTCAGTGCTTTGCGGATGAACACTAGAGTGGAATATGTAAGCGAAGAGTAGAGTTTTAGGGTTGTAGGAGGTCTTTGACGAATCGGGATTATTTGATCCTGGGAGACGAGTGATTTTCCATAAATAAATGTGAAGGTTGCTCAGTGCATGTTGTTTTTTCACTTTTCATTTATAATCTTTAGAACTTCCTTTGGAAGTCTTTCTGCGTGTTGGTGTAAGATTGATTAGTGTTTCCCGACTCATTAACTTCTATGATACTGTCATTAGTCTCGTATATTTATGAGACTCGTAGTTCGATATTCCGGGAGGTTGTGCTGTTCCTCCGACGCTGGGAATTGAGATCCTGCACTGATCTACATGTTGACTTTCAACATTTTTCTCCTCCAGCGACGCATTGCCCTAACCGGAACAAGCTCTGAGCTTCCTACTGATCTCATGTATGTGAGGGAATAGGGAGAGGGGAGGACAAAATGGGGAAGGCAAGATTGCACACAGTATTTATTATTAATTGCATCCGGCTCATTAATTAGAGTATTGCTCCGGGATTCGCCTGGATGAGATCAGAGAAACCACGTTAAACTGCGAACAGAGCAGTCGACCGCTGGAATTCTCCTCTTGATATGATAATACTTGCATTCGGCCTAACTATATAGCTAGGGTGGAAATTCCACCACCGTGAGGGCTCGAAACCCAGCACCTCCAGATCGCCTACAGAGACAATGGTAATGTTGTTACCGAGTGTGACCTATTTCAGCCTTTGCCCGGGGGTATTGTGAGTTGTACTGAAATGTAGAAGTAGATTTCACTTGTGCTTGTTAAGAACCAATGGCTGGATCTATTAGTGCAGATATGAAGAAATTTGGATTAAATAAAGATACTGAAATTCATAATTCGAAGAGTTGCTAGTACATGGATTGTTTAATTAGCCATTTGGGGGTAGGAGATGATGAAATCGGTTGGAAGTTGCAAGAAAGAACCATTGATCAGATGGTGAAGTAACCGAAGATTTAAAAATTTGGAAATAACCATTGTTAATTCCTAGGGGAATTTTAAGATTGTGTAGATATTGGGTTGGCTCTATCATTGCGTGGATTGAGGTATAGTATAGTTAAGTAAGGCTATTTTGAGCAATAATTTTCGTTTGGGGAAGTAAGAGAGGATCAGAAAATAAAATGTCTATAATCTAGATAATTTTCCCTGAATGGGATGTATGGAAGGTTGTATACTGCAATGAGCATAATAGGCGAGCCAGTATTTTTTAACATAAAATTAAGGGGTCGCAGTATATGATATTGCATTTCTGCTTCGCCATGAAAGTAAATTGGGTTTTCGTAATGTTCTTTTGAGTTGACGTTCACATCAACGGAGGTCCCTTTTAGTTTGGGTTGAAATTGCCTAGATCTTTTAGTATGATACTGTAGAGAACTTAATAATTCTCTATATCATGTACGAAAAGTGGATGTACTTTAACTATCAGATTTTGATCTGTTTAGGCATTTGTAGAGCTATGCCGATTTGTTCGTCCGCAGGCAGCTACGTCCGAAAAACGGGTTGGGTCTACACGCGGCAACCAGCGAACCGTTTTGGGGTAACTCAGGACGTTTATAATCTTGCTCTACCCTCGGCCCATGGAGGGATGACGTTGGCCAATCCGTCACTTTACAACACTAATGTTCAGCAATAGACACTCTCACGCCACGAATGCGACACCTTCGCCTGCACTAAGCGTCCCGAATTATTTATCGTAGCCAGGACCAACACGAGCTGTGTCGCGATCAGGGAACGAATGAACCTCAAACTCTATTACGGAGGATTAATAAATCGTAATTAATTATATAAATAAATAAACAAATATATAAATGAAACCTAATCAATAATGTACAGACTAGTGTAAAATACTCCCGATGTCTTGATTATTGTTTGTTTTGATAGCTTGTTGTAGACTCACTGGTTCTGAGAAATCACTTGTTTTTCAGAAAGCCACTGAAATGGTAAATTGGTTGATTTTTTAAACTAAATTTTAGCAAATTATTACTTAATTCTGAAAATACACTGTGACTACCATTTTTCTACGAGGTTATATCTCTTAAACACTCAAGAGCCGCTGTATTATCTAATGTAATACTCAAGAACATTCATTTCACTTTAATGATCCTTTAACCTTAGCAGGTCACTGAAACCGTACGAAGTTCTTCGAAGCGTGTTCAAAATTGGGCCAAAGTCGTGCCATACGTGAAACTTGAAGGCGGACAGCGGCACAATGGCTCTCGAATGGGGGCCAACACTCCCATAATCGGGGCGTGCGGTCGCGTTAGGGACGCCTTGGGCGCCGCCGCCCCTGCGGCACGGACGTGACTCGCCTGGGATGACTCCGGTGCCGATTTGGTAGGCGCGCCCTCCCCTCCCCAATACACCCCTCCTCACCTCTCCACGCCACCGTCCTATTCCGTCCTGTCTAACCCCACCCCGCTCTGCCCTGTCCCCCTGCCCCGCCCCGCACTGTTCCGCTTCGTCCTGCTCTGTCCCAGCAAGCCCGGCCCGCCTCGCCCCACTGTCACGTCACGTCACGCCACGCCTCGCATCACAACACACCACTCCGCCCCACATCGTTCCGGCAAGCCCCGCCATACCCCATCACGCCTAGCCAAGCCACAGCACACCCTACCACGCCACGCCGCACTGCTCCACGCCGTCACGCCGCGTCTTACCCCGAGATACCCCGGCCCGCCACGCCAAGCCTCCCCACTTCTGACCAGACTGCCATACACTAGCTTGTCAGCTAGGTCGAATTCAGTCGCTGTCTGGGGAGAATTCTAGAGGCCGGCTGCTTTGATCGGTAGTTTTCCGTGGTTTCTCCGATCTACACTAGATGAATGCTAGAGCAGTGTCTTAACAAAAGGGCCACGGACCGCGCGCGATCTCTCCTTCCTCTTCCTTGTCCTTTCCTCATTCCTTACACACATTTGCACTAGTATGCACTACATTACCACACACGCCGGGAGACCTTTCGCGTCCGCTGGTGGGGAAAGACGAAGGAAAACATGCACTACACTTACGGAACTAATGACCTCCGTAGTTGACGCGCCCGGAATCACTAACAGCAGACCAGCCAACTAGTGAGCCATGCCACGCCCTGCCCCTGCCACGCGCCTCTCCGCCTGGCGGTGCCGTGCCAGCGACGAAAGGGAGCGCGGCGTGCTGCGCGGGTGCGGGGCGTGCATGCCGATGGAGGCCCGCGCGCCGTCACTGCCCGGCCTCGCGCCAGCCACTCGCCTGAAAAACGAAACCGCGCACGTTTCCAACTCCCCAGTGCGTGCAGCTTCGTGTTTGCTCTCGAGAAACCGCAAAGCACTTCCGCGGGTGGCCGTTGCGTGGCCGTCTCTATTAATCGAGGAAAAACACGCGTTAAAGGTTTTACACACGCGCGCACTCGTCTGAGCTAACTCGCTGTAAAACATAACGAGGTATCAACTGCTGACTCTCGGTCTTTCTTTATTAACTGAAATGTGAAATATTAAAATATGCAAATATTAACTGAAATATGAAATACAACGATTTGAAATACTTTTATTTTCATAATTTCGGCTTAATCTGTAATTGTTGAATGGTTTCTAATCTTTGATGGAATCAAAAAGCTAAACTGATATATTCCTAAATTACATTGAGATAAACGCTAAATACGCACATAAATATATATTCGTACATACGATCATGCAAATTACGAGCTCTTGATGTAACCGGAACGAGCAATATTAGGAACATCGTTGTTATCATGCCGGATAATTAACCGTTTGACTGGTAATAATAAAAGATCCAAGAATGTGAATCAAGATGAAACACATTATTTGTTCCGCCTAGTTTACATCGGCAATTATGCTTAATATGCACAGTTCTCGAAACCACCTATATTGAACTTGTCTCCTGACCGAAAAATGGAATGTAATATGTTTAACTCGAAAAATCCTTAATTATCATATTCCAAATATATTATATATTCTTCGAGTAATTTTAAAAAATGATATTATTTAGTCGTTAAAGAATATCTTGGCAAGCTTTCTGTGGAGATAATTTCAAATGTTCCAACATAATTTTCTTTCGTTTCCTTTATTTGCATTGAAATTTACAGGAAGAATGTCAGCCATAGTTAATAATGATAAGAGAAAGTTCTTAAAATTTAGTACACATGATTATTGTAACTGATATTTTCTCGAGCTTTCACACATTTTGGTTTAAATTATAAAATATGAAATAAAATTTATATTAGATAAAGCTAAATTTAGATACACAAAAAAAGTAGGTATAGTAGGATAGTTCGATATTTCGATATAAATAGCCAACTTTGGTTTTGTGTTGCTTGTTTTAGAGTGTAGGTGTAAGAATGTAATTACAATGTCATTGGTACCTATGCGTCATTAAATGTCACCAAAATGTGATGTCACATATCAAAATTTACAACTTAAATTGCAACATCAACGAACGTTCTAAACTGACAAATAATTTTAACATCATACTCGTAAATTGGATAACTGGATTTCACCATTATTTCTCCGTTTTTCTGTAAGTGAAATTTTTAAAAGGAATGACATTTGAATTTTCTTGCAGTATCAGGTATTGTGATGTTACGTTGCTTAGGATCTTTGCATTTATAACAAATCTGTTGCCGGAAGAGGTAGAACGAGACGAGAGCTTGGACGAGAATTGATCATAACTTTTAGTTTTTGAGCTCAATCATAGATAATGGTATTGGTAACTCTATTGAACTGGAGAATTCCCTCTTCTCAGGTAGATTGCGTGATTAGAACAATCATCCTTTGCCGGCTTCTCGAAACTCCTCCTTCCCTTCTCATACCCAGCCAAATCGAACAAAGCTCGGAAAATGTTACGACTGACTTGGAGCCGTTCTCAACACGTGTGATAAACGGAAAGCGGCACGAAAAAACACAAATGAGAACCGCAAGAATCGCGCTTCTCGGAGAGGAATGTTGATATTACACTTTTTGTCAAATAACCCTCCGAGGCCCGCGTCCAGTTGCCAGTCGTGCATGCCGCTCGGGCAACGACAACAAACCGTTCCGGTCGTGCGAAAGAGCCGGAGACGCGTCTCGACGGAGCCTCCGTCAGGGGCCGATTGTTCGCGCGCGCTCGGCCGCGATTCCGTCGAGCGGGCTGCTTCCTTCCGCGCCCTCGCCTTCGGAGGCGGAGGTCGCGATTTGCGTCGATAACGGCTTATTCTATTTCACTCCCGTTTGCCGCCAATGGCCTGCCGACCATGCGCGGAACCTCCGTGGGAGACGAACGGGATGCCATCTCACGTCCCAGGGCAACGTCCATCACTTTTGAACGAAGCTCAGAATACAATAGATCATCATGTGAGATGAGCCGTGTGTTGTTTGTCTTTTGTTTTGTATCTTTTATGTGTATTTCTGAATACTTTTAAATGAATATATATAATAAAAAATAAAATATCTATGTAATATAACAACGAAATAACTGGTTAAATGGTGGAAATTTTGTACTTCTTTTAATTAGGGATAATTTTTTTCTGGGTATTTTCTATAAAAGGAAAATGTGTGTACTTTCTGCCGTAACATTTAACAATTGAGACTTCATATCTCACTTTTTAAAATTATTTATTACATTTCTTTGTAATTATTTTACGTATTACATTGCGATTTTGGTGACGGATACACCGTTGGCTTCACCTACTCTAGTTTCTTTCAAATTTCCTCGTGTCCTTTCTGGGGTTTACGAATGTTTTCACGGCTGCCCTCCGGGAGCGCGGAGATGTGATCAAACATAACAGTGCCTTGTGTAGCGGTGCATGAGCCCACGCGTACGGCACGCCATCACGTTCGTGCTGCATCACGGCCGGGGAGTTGCTGGCTCACATAGCAAGTTCCTTCCGTCTTCGGGCCGGCCGGCGCTTCTGCGAACTTGCCATGCAGAAACAGTGGATAATTAGGTAGACTATGAGCTGATACACCCGTCACGGTCGTACCTCTGGTGAGGCTAACAGCTGCACGCAAAAACGCTTGTAGGGCGGTCCACGCCTAAGGCGGATTCTGGTCGTCTGTAGTTTGGAGTTAATCTCCCTGGTTATTTGTCAGGAAGGCTACTGTTGGACCGACCATGATCCCAACTGATGTTAAAATGTGTTTGCTATGTTTCAGCAATACATAAATACAGAGAAGGTTTTTAATGTTACGTATTGTACACATTTCAAAAATTTGACAAATCATATTAGACCAAATATACATATCACTAAGTATTGGTACGAACTTTATTAATTTTTATTAATATTAAATAATTAAATTTATTTACTTTATTATTTGTTCAGATTTTATGCAGAAAACATTTCTTCCATTCCCATTTTCTAAGTGATATATTAAAAATATTGCAATATATGTTATTTAGTACTTGATATCATTTTAGTTTGGTTTATAACACACAAAGAAATTATTATTTTTAGAATTAATTTATAATACTTGTAGTATTTTATCAAAAACATCAAGATATTTTCGATAAATGCATGCTGCACCCCTCTCGCATACCTTCAGAAAACAATACTAATAAGATTGCGAACGGATAGGTATTTCAGTTCTCAAGCCTTTATTTTCATCTCGTGTATCTAGTCTTCCAGATTCACGTGGGAAATCACGACAAAACATATCACGTATGGTATATGGTTCTTGAACGCGTTTCTCAAAAGTCGGTGTGAACACAAGGTTTTATACAACATGCTCATTCTGGGCAACGAAGATGAGATTACAGAAAAAATTTCTCACAATTATGCAGTGCCTAATTTGCAATGTTTAGGCGTTAGACAAAGTGCTCTAATGGGAATCCGGTAATAACCATCTGACTTTGTTTGGTAAAGACAATTTAAGAGGTTTCTTATAATTCATTAACAAAACTTAATTTAAAATTCATAGAATACGTATCACAAAGCAGAAACGTTATGCAATTTAATGGGAATGAGTTGCAGTTAGAACATGCACGTGTCGCAAATCTTCAGAAAACATTGCACAGCTTGATTGACTCGGCATGCATTAATTCTTGAATCTACAGATATTTATGAGATTCTGAAGATTACTGCCGTATCTTGAGATAACGTGGTAAGATCGAAACCGAGCCTCGGTTCGCGACCTTGTTAAGGTGCGCGCAGGCGAGCGTGCCGCTAAGGCGACCCTCCCCCCCAGAGCGTGCGTGGGGCGTTCCGCCGCGCGCTTGTTGCAGGCCTGGCTGCGTCACCACGCCTTCCCGACACTTCCGCACTCTATCAGAGGCTGCCGCCCCAGCTGCACAACGGGGCGGGGGCGGCAGCGTGTTGGGAGGCCTGCCGCTTCTACGAGGGG